CAGAATGACTTACGTAGGTGTGATCTCTCCACCAGCTCCCTGTGAGTCCTTGAAGGGCAATGGCGTGACTCATGTATCTTGAGTCCTGGGACAGAGCTGGCCCAGAGCAAGCTCTCAGTAGGCTGAGGTCCTTGGCCAGGGGAAGTGTCAGGTGAAAGGCCCTAGTTGGTGATGGTTGGTGACAGTAGTGACCGCTGACCCCCTTGGCACCTCCCCTGAGTCTGGACTCCTCATTGCCTGGCATTTCCTGGCCCAGGGCAGCCCAGGGCCGAGGCAGACTTCTCATCCTCACGACGTGATGCCTCCCCGGGGCCTCGCCTCTCAACGCCATTCATCTTGATGAGATGTTGGCAGCCTTGGCTGATTAAATGCCCCACCATCCCTCCCATTTCTTTCTCAGCGAGGAGGTATCAGGGTTTTTCATTCTTCAGGCTTTGACCTTGACAGTGGTGCGATGGCCCTTAGCACACCTGCCTCAGTGCTGCAGTTGTCTGGCTCTGCTACCAGAGAGATTGATTAAGGACAGCTTCCACACTCTCAGGCAGGAGTCAGGGGACTTTCTCTAGCTGGGGAAATCGGGGACGACTGTCTCCTGGCACCTCAGCTTCCAAGAAAATAATCGCCCGCATGACCATCTTTGCCTAAAAGGCTCGATCGCTGCCCCCCGCCACGTCTTCCTGGAAGCCTTCCCGATTAGCTCCATTGGCACCCCCATCCCTGCCCTCAGTGCGCTATGTTTGTCAATGTTTATTCTATAGTTGGCATAGGTCAGCTGACACCTGTTGACACCTGTCACTATTAGCTCCTGGAGCTGCTCACCTTGAACATGAAAAGGGGCTCTTTCAGACTCGCCCAGGTGGCTAGCATATTCCCAGGGAGCAGAGTCGCTCACAGTGCAGATATGGGCAATCTGATCCAATGGCCAGGTGAGGACTGCGAGAAACAGAGGAAATGGAGGTGGGCAGATGAGGGAACAAGAGAAGAAATTTCACCTGAGAATGGACCTCACTGTGTCATCGTGGGTAAGCAGTGGCCACTCTCCGTTATTCAGGGATGGGCAGACTGTGACCCAAAACTTTAGCCCAGCCAGCCAGCCAGAACAGGTTAATTATTATTCTTGTAGAGCCAGCCTCCTGGAGAGTTGGAGGGCGCAAGGCAGAGGGCCTGAGGGGCCTCACTTTGAAGACCAGAGGGCAGCAGATGAGTGCCAAGGCCAAGGGCAGCACCCAGCGGGGCCCAGGTTTCCTTCTCTCCCTCCGGCTGCTTGTCTCTCTTGCCAGGTCTCAGGCTCTCTGCTTCCCAAGCTGGAGCGCCACAGCAACGGCCACCTCTGTGGGCCTTCCACCGTCCCCATCATTCACACACTCTTGAGAGTGCCCCAGGAGCTGCTGTCTGAGAGCATCGGTGGCTCCAGGGAAATCGTGAAGACTGTGTCACTCTTTGGTGAAATCGTGAAGACTGTGTCACTCTTTGATGCTTCGAAGCCCCTTTCTTTCTCAGGCATCCACCACCGCCTCGCTTACCTTCCTCACCACACTCTCACTCCCTAGGGCAGACCAACTGACCGAGTCCCCCACCTACGAGGCGCTGCAGGGCATACGAAAACAGACGTGAGGAGCAGGACCTGCACTGAAACAGTCCAAGCTTGGAATCATGGTTCCATTATTACGAGCCGGGTGACCCTGGGCAAAGATAACCGGCTCTCTGTTCCGCAACTTCCTCTCGTATGAAAAAGAGACCTTCGTAACCCATTAAGAGGCTCGTTCTGAGCACCAAAAGAATGTATTTAGGCTTTCGGAGCAGTGCCTGGCACTTTACTACTTTATTACTGGCATCTCTCAGTCATCCAGCAAACACTTATTTATTTAGAGGCCTCCATGTCCCAGGAAGACGAGCTGGATCTCAACAGATCTGAAGAGTTCCTACCATAATTCCGACCCCAGGTGGACTTTACCTGTCCTGACTGCTCAGGGGCGGCAGATGTGCCGCAGCGGCTCACGCTCTCACACCTGTCGGTCAGCCCTAGAAGGTCTGTTCACTCCCATGTAACCCACTCCTTCATCAACCATGACTGAGCGCCTGCTCTGCTGCCCCAAGCACTGTGCTAGGCTGATCTGGGACAGTAAACGAAATGCATATTGTCCTCGTGCTCGAGTCCCACCATCTACTGGGGGAGGGTAACAGCAGACATGTTGACAAACTAAAAGATGTATAACATACACACACCACGCCGTGACCTTCTCCCATTGTGACCCCAATGGGGACAATTCTAAAGCAGGCTGGGGGAGAAATGGACAAGGAACCTGTCTGCAGGCCGTCCGGAAGAAAACAGACTCAACTCTTGTCACCTCTTCAGGCAGGGGACCTGACTTGCTTTACACCACCATTTGGCATTCTGGCTTAGTCACTCACGGTGGGAGGGCTGTCCCCATTTGAGGAAGGGCAAATCACAAATGTCAACTGGCTAAGACCCAAGTGCCAGGTTCCTGCCAGAGGCACTGTTTTTACACCAGCCCGCACAGTCTGGAGCCTGTAATGAGAGAGGCTGACAGTCTATTAGCAGCAGAGTGGTCTGCGGGGCTCAGAGGAAAGGAGCTGTCATCCACCTCACTTCAAAGGCTTTTGAGGGTAAAATCAAGTGTGTATGTGTGTGTATGTGTGTGTATATGTGTGTGTACGTGCACGCGTGTGTGTGTGTATAATCTTAAAAAATAGAGAAAGCAATATAGGTCACAGCCGTGCCTGTTAAAATGGGCAAATGACAATATAACATCACGAAGAGATGTCAACATGTTGCGTGCACTCTGGGGACCTCCCAATTCCCAGGGGCAGGTCTGCGACAGTCCCCTAATAAAAGAACGACCACATTGCAGGGGACAGAAGAACCTGAAGGTCTTCTCACCCACCCCGCTCTCTGATGTCCAGCTCGTCAGTGTTCCTGACAAGCAATCACCTTTTTGCTTGAATGCCTCTAGTCACAGGGAACTCACCACCCATTGGGACAGTTTGAACATCTCACTTGCCGATTCCTCTAATGGCCAGAAAGTTCTTCCCAACCTAAGAGCTTACACTTGGGGCCATATAATTAACTTCCACTCATTGGTCTAGTTTCGCCTTTGAAGTCACACAGACAGAAAAAAAAAAAAAAAGCCCAATCTCTTTTCCCCAAGACGGCCCTCTCGTGCGTCTTTTCCACGCTGACAGGGTTTTAAGTGCTCCTACCAGTCCGCCTAGTGCTTTCTGGACGAGAGCCAGTTTGTTAATCACACCTTCAAAACGTGGTTCCACACCGAGGCGCAAAGTCTCTGCTGCAGCTGCTACCAGTGTGAAAGCACACGTGCACGTGAACACAAAGTCCTTCTAACTGGATTTCCATCCACTCCACATTTCATATTGTCGAACGCCCTGCTGAGATACAAGTATATTACACCCGCCGCACGCTCCTGACCGACCACATTTGCTCTATCGAGAAAAAATGTAGAAGGTGCCCAGCAATGGACCCAGCCCCCCGACACGTGGTGCAGCCACACGGGGTGGGCAGGACCTGCGCCTTCCTTGCTCTGGACACTAATCTCGTGTTAATGCCACAGATCACATTGACCTTCATGGAAGTCAGAGCTCATTACCGACTCAAACTGAGCTTCGGGCCGAGTGACAGGCTTAGATTTTTGTTTAATGCAGGAGTAACAGAAGAGTTAGCAAGATAATAATAAATGATTGGCACCCTCTTTCCTCCCCGCACTCAAGATGCCAGCATTGGGCTCCTGAAGGCCCCCCGGGCGGGACTTTGTGCAAAGGCGCTATGAGGGGCGGGAAGGAGGGAGATGCTTTGAGTAGGGGAGGTGGACAAGGTAGATCATGTTGGGAGGGGTACTTCCGTGAGACAAGGCAGAAATGGGGATGGCGTGACAGGGACAAGTGCCCTGCAAGCCTGTGATACTCGTCAGCAAAGGGGGCTGCTGTCGGGGGCATTTTGAACCCTTCTAGAACAGTGTGCACAAAACGAGGGTAGATTCCAGGGCTGAACCCCAGATGAGGTAGCAGAGAATCGACCTTACAGACAGTGAGGTACTGGAGCAAGGGCCCAGCCAACAGCCCTGGCTTCTGGCCCCACCGAGGCCCACAGGGATGTAAGCCAGCCCAAGAGGTGAAGGGTTAAATTTCCGGCCACCCCTCTGGGGAGCAGAATTAATGACCCCAGAAACAAAGGCATGTAACATTGTACCCCAGAGTCATCAATAAAATTCGTAGCAACCGCATCTATTGCTGTCACGCCAGGCATCCTCCCCTTTGGGTATCATACAGTTGTCTTTTAGGGACCCAAGTATACGGCCAAGTATTTACTCGTGCTATATTTTCCATTCGGCACATCAGGCTTTTTGAGCAGTTCCTGGCAGCCTTTAGATTGTCATTTTACAAGCTCTTCCCTCAAGTTTACAAAACCTTCCGAATCCCAGGCAGTAACAACAGGTGGTGAACCCGGCCAGGCAACGCGGGGAGGCCAGGTGCGCGTGTGCTGCCAAAGGCTTCCTTCCACTGACAGTAACACGCTGATTGGTCGGCTCTCTCCCACGGCTTGCTCAGTCCCCCAGAAATTCATCTAACTAGACTATTATCCATTCCACGTTATCTCCGCTTTGTTCAGAAGGATATATTGTCAAATGCCTAGTTGAAACCCAAATGCACTCTGTCTACTATGTGTTCTCAATCTATCACACAGTGACCCTATCGAGGAAAAGAAAAATGAACGTAGAAAAGGACAGAAGGAAACAAGGTTAACTTGACCTGACTGGTTCTTGGCAAATCCACACTGGCTCTGAGTGGTCCCTACTTTCTTTTCTAAGGGCTCATCAAATCTGGTTGAACCCTACCGAAATTCATCAACCGAAGATCATGTACCCACCGAACGTTCCCTTGTCTCTGTGATGGACTGAGATTTATGAATCAGAGTTCACAATCAGACAATGAGACAAGTAGGAGGAAAGCAAAGAAAAACTGGAAACTGGTAAGCATTTTTTTTTATTAACAAGTCTAAAGAAAACCTTCATTGAATCAGGGGATGTAATACAAATTATGGTGAACTTCATATAAAACCTGGCATCAAATTTGGCCTTTTAGAAACATTGATATATAAAAATTTGCATTAAAGTCTGCACCAGAACACAGTGCAGAGGCTGATGCCCCTGACAGGAGCGCTTACAAAGGTGGGTCTGGTCTGTGAACCCAGGAAGCTCTTGGTCCTACAGCCTCAGGTGTGAGCCCCACGTGCAAACAGCCTGCTCTGGGGAGGGGCCCGAACAGCTTGTCTTTGCAGGCGAGACCCCTGTGAGCACCAAAATGCCACAGGCCTGGCAGAAAAGACAAGTGGTGCTGGGCAGGAAAGCAGGAGAGGGGCCGTTCCCCTGGTTACCGGGCTCTCACCGTTATTCGAGGACTCCGGATGTCTGCGGACAAACCACCTTTAAGTTCAAAGGAACTTTTGCGATTTCCAAATATGTTTTTTCTGAGTAAGCTGACTAATTCTAATTCAAGGAGCAGAATCACATAATTAGCTGATCTTAAGGATTAAGAACTAGTTCTCATGTCATTTTCTGCAGGCCAAGGCCCCTGGAGACACCTATCAGAACGGCTATCATCACAACCGAAAAATGTAGTGATCATGGCCTGCATCTATTTCGGTCTTGGACCAAATGTAACAGCAATTCTAGCCCAGAAATTGTACTTCACAGGCAATGATTTGGAAAGCAGCTTTGATCAGTGTTGGCATTCCCCGACTCTGGGTACAAACTATCTTTGCACAATGCAACTGAAGCCATTGGGAGAAGCAGGGTCAACACACCACATCGTCTTCGAGGAGGAAGTCACAGCTCCTTCCCTGGCAGGGCGTCACTTGGGGGACAACGAAGCCTTGCGCGCTGTAGGTAGCCCACAAGGACAGCAGTGTGTCTCCAATTTCAGGGCTCCTGACAGTTGCCGACAGGACTGGGAGTCCTTCCTGCCATCCCGGTGGCTTCTACAAAGGGAAAACGGCCGCCCTACCAACTTCTATCCCAGAGAAGAGCGATTTTCTGAGCTGCCTCCAGCGTGGGATTTCTTTTCCTTCCCAGTCCTGCCTTGATTGTCTTGCTGCAGGGTGAGCTGACACTTTCCCTCAATGGTGGCAACGAGTGAAAGGAGAGATGAAGGACAAAAGCCTCGGAATGACAATTTAGACAAATAGCCGGAAGCCATGTTCGGCTCTTAATGAGAGACTTTCTCAGGCAGTGTATTTCGGGACCCAAATGCTCACAGGAAGAGACAGGTGCTCCTGGTGTCACTGGGGCCTGACACCAGTCATTACCACATCCTGCAAGACCAAGGTAACAGCAGGACACTTCGCCCAGTTACTATGGCCGTCTCAGGACTGGAGGCCAACCCCAGCAGCTCTTCAGTCGTCAGGCTTTTCAGACTACTTTAAAGCAGCCTAACAGCACCCCCTAGTGGAAGTTATACGTAAAACAAGGGCCATGCAGCCGACTCACCTTCTGATACGAGTGGTTTCAAGATTCCCCACAAAACAGAATAAAACAAAAACAAAACACTATCTTTAAAAACATAATAATTTTAAAAAGGTGGGAGTTCACAAGCCATCCTCAGGCCCCCTCACTGCCAGATCACTTTTTCTCCTCGGATACTCTGTCTTCAACACATCCTCAGACACGGGGACATGTGGATGGGGGAGCTCCTGGTCCCCTTAGAGTTTGGGCAGACTACCTGCTGGGGCCAGAAAGATGCCAAAGACGTAGAAGAGTCCCAGCAGGAGGTTGAGCTTGGCGGTCCTCTGGGGCAGTTTGCTGAAAGTCTGGCTTCGGAACTGTCTCTCCAGAGAAAAGGCCATGGGGATGGTGAGCAGGGGCAGTGCCAGGCTGATGCTGCAGTGAGTGGCCAGGATGCTGAAGATCAGGTAGGGCAGGAAGAGCAGTGCATTGTAGAGCATGTAGGAGAAGGTGGGGCCGATGAGGATGGCGAGGGTGACGATGCCGGCCTCCCGATCGGACTCCATGTCCCTGGTGTTGTTGGAATGGAGAATGGCCTCCGTGCTAAGGGCGAGGGGGATGGCGTAGACCAGTGGGAAGACCGCCAGGGACCCCACCTGGACGGCGTAGGCGAACATCACGGCCAGCGGGCCAAACGTGATGAGGATGATGAGGTCTCCCAGAGCCACGTACTTGAATCCAATTCCTACAGCCAGAAAACCCAAAAAGTTGGTGTGAGATCAAGGGCTGGAAGCTGAGGGGCTGTCCGCCAGCCAAAGGCAGGCCACTCCTGGCCGGGCGCAGCGAATTCACAAGCGGGGAGAGTGGGCGGGTGCCGAGTTCCCTTCCTGCCAAAACCTGATTTCTTCTCCAAGGACACAGAGGTACAGAGAACACTAACCTGTGAGCACCCAGTGAGGTTTCAGAGCTACACCCAATTTTTCTTTCCTACTGTCCCCCAACAGAATCCCGCAACAAAGAGAGTGGGTTCTCACGACATACACACTTCAACGGGAGAGCCCAGGAAGGATCTAGGTCTTGTAATCCAGTTCTTCAGTCTCCGTCACTCTTCACCAAGCCCTACGTGACACTGCTTCTGTCTGTAACAGCATTAGATCAGGCCCTCACAGAATATCCAGCCCGGTCTCTTACTTCTCTGCCTCCTTCCTCTACAACCTCTGGAGGCATCTTCTGGTTATAAAAACCCCCAGCGAATCTCAGTGAAATTACAGGGTTCCCAAACTCCGCAAAGACTTTCACCCACGTAATGCGTAAAACAGCTAAGATAACATAATGACGTTACAATGCTGCTTCCCCTCTCTGGTTCCCCTTAAGTTAAAACTCAGAACTCATCCCTAACTCCTCTGCCTGCACTGCTAACTAACATCTGTCAAATCCTGTCTATTCTCCTTCCTTCAAACCTGCCCAGTTCTCTCCATCCCCAGTGGCACGCTCCATCCCATCTCACTGCACCCCAAACCCAAGCCATAGTCGTTTTCTGCCTGGAATACTGCGCCGCCCTAATTGGGTCCCCAGCTTCCATTCTCAGAACCTCCTCCTCCTCCCATCCCTAACCAAACAGCCACACCGCAGCCAGATGATCCTTTAAAAATACTAATGTGACCATGCTCCCTCCCCCAACATAAGCCCATAAGCCGGAAAACCCTGATCAACACATGTTCCTGGGGATAAAAGCGGAACTTCCTCCTGGCCGGCCCCTGGCCCTGCCCCCTCTCTCCAGCCCTCCTTGAGCTCTCCTCCCTTCCCCCTCATACTTCCTCAGTTCCTTGGGGCCTTCAGAACCACCCGCTCCTCTGCCGGGCTAACTCCGTTCTTCCAGGCTGTCTTCTTTCAGCTCTACGCCAGTCGGTCCCCTTGTCGTGTGTGCCCACGGCACCCTGACTTCCACTCTCACACACATCGCGCTTCTCGTTACTTAATCTCCGTCTTCCCCAGCAAAGCCAAGCTTCCGTGGGTGCAGGACTTTGTGTTTGGCTTCTTCACAGCTCAGTCCCCAACGCCTGGCACGATGGCTGAACTAAACACAGAGCTACAGTAACAAGCACCTGGAACCGCGGTCAGGAAAAATGTCCGACTTGGGACTGACGCAGCATGGAATGGCTGGGAGTGACCACACCTCCACTGCCCCAGAAGCATGGGAACCTTCCAGACCTGACCAAGCTACCGAGACGTGCCCTTGGGATCAGAAAAGAAAGAAAACTGTTGGTAGGCACCTGCATTTTAACCAGCCTAAAATGACAAGGGACAATGGTCTGCAGAGGATCTAAGGCCATGGCAGCTGAAAAACAAGATTCGGCCCTTCACACTTGTAGCTGGGGTTCTGGACTGTGGGGGTTCCCCCCAGCTTTGCTGAGATATGATGAACATATAACACTGTGTGGTTTACGGGGCACGACGTGCTGATCTGACTCATGTACAGCAGAATGGCTACCGCTGTGCCGGCTGGCGCCTCGGTCTAGTCGGATTCTTTGGCGCCAGCCTTGGTCCTTCAGAATGGAGTGTCCTCAGGGAAGCTTATCACAGGCTTGGCCCCGGTACCCACCAGTGCTCCCCAAGTGGTGTTTTGATCAGTGGTTTCACTGTCTGAGGACAGCCCCCCAGGAGGAAGTTCTCTCTTGTGAGACATCGGCTCCAATTCTAAATTAGTAAATGGAAGTCTCTTGCAATCTCTCACATGTTGAGGGGACGACGGCGGTCCCCCCTCTCCTCATCCAAGACCCCAGGAGGACGCCTGAAACCACAGGTAGTACCGAAACGTATGTATATTATGTATTTTCCATTTGTACCGTACACGGCTTTTCACCCAACGGACGCATCGTACGGCTTCTCTCTGGCGTATCCAGACGGCCACCATCACTACCCCTGTGCTTTTATTATTAAGTAAAACAAAGGTGACTTAAACACAAGCCCTGTGATACCGCGACGGTCGGTCCGATAACCGAGACGGGGCTCGGTGACTCACGGGCGGGGAGCACACAGTGTGGAGACGCCGGACAGAGGGATGATTTATATACAGGGTGGGATGGGCAGACAATGTGAGATTTCATAACACTACTCCGAACTTATGAATTGTTTATTTCTAGAATTTTCCATTTAATATTTTTGGACCACAGTTGACCCTGGAAAACGGAAACTACAGAAAGCGAAACTGCAGGTAAACGGGGCCGACCAGACCCTGCCCAAGGAAGACGCCAGCGGGACGACTCCTGGCATGGACCTGGCCGGCTTCTCCACCAGCTGCCTGCTTTCCTTTTGCCTGTGTTCTTAGCTCTCCAAGCAGACTTAAGGCTCTAGCTATGGAAGAAAACATAACTCTAAAGCCTTGACCTCCGGCTAGATTACCCAAGAACACCTCCTTAGATGCCCCGACAAAAAATTATGGGAGCGAAGTTGAACAGAAACCTGCGCCTGCAAAGATAAGCAAGCCCCCGCCTTCAACAGGACCTACACAAAACCAACCACAAACCCACTGTGGGGATGAGGAAGGTCTGGCGAGCTCCCAGAGGTTATCTGACATGAGAAAACACTAGAACCCTTAGGAGAAAGCCCAGGGTCCTGAGTGGCCGATGTGTGGCCCACGTGCCCCCCGATTCAGAGATGTGGCCCTCCTGGGAGTTTCCTTTCAGGCACTCCCGCCCCTCCCAACATCATCTTCCAAACAAGCCATCACAGTGAAATATTGGGCAGTTCTCCACACAGCAGCCGGGTGAATTTGATAAAACAGAAATCAAAATGTTGGCAAGGACGTGGAGCAACTGGAACTCTCGTACATTGCTGGTGTAAAGGTAAAAATCATACAGCCACTTCAGAAAACACATTGGCAGCTTTTCACATAGGTAAACATCATCTATGACCCAACAATTCCGTTCCTAGGCATTTACCCAAGAAAAATGAAAACCACCGCACAAAGACTTGACTGTGAATGTTCAGGCATAGCAGCCAAAATGTGGAAACATGCCAGATGTTGCAAATCAGGAAAAAGGACACACTGCAGTATGTCCACACAATGGATTCCAAAACCAAGGAACTGCCGATGCACATCATGAGATGACGAATCTCAAAACCATCACGCTGAGCGAAAGAAACCAGGCGCAAGAACTCATACTGAATGATTCCATTTACGTGATGGTCCAGACCAGGCAAAACCCATGTGGAAGAAATCAAAACAGTGGGTGCCTCTGGATAGGGGTGGGGAAGGTGGGGATTGACAGAGAAGAAGCATAAAGAAGCTTTTAGGGGTGACAGAAATATTCTGTATCATGATAGCAGTGAGGGTTATACAGCTATATGCATTGGTTAAAATTCAGCAAACTATAACACTAAGATCTGTACATTTCATAGTATGCCATTATATATCAAAAGCAATGTTTTAAAAAACCATAAAACCAGATTAGATCATTACTCTGCTCAATACATTTCAACGTCTCCATTTGTCCATTCAATGAATAAAAGGACTACATGCCAGGCACCGTTCTGGGAACAGAGAGACTAAAGTCCCTAACCTCAATGAGTTTACAATCTAAGGGGAAAGATAACTAATAAAGCACCTTATAGGGTATGTTAGATAAACATGAGAAAACACCTTCTAGGTATATTCTATGAAGAAAAATAAAGCAGAGCAATAGGGCAGGTACTGTGGGGGAAACACGGGGCGCGGGGTATGTGTGTAATTTTTTTTCAGCTGCTGCAAAAAGCTTCATTGTTTCATAATGTAAATAGGGTGAAAGGCAAGGCCTCACTAAACAGTTGACATTAGAGCAAATGGGTGGAAGAGGTTAGAAAGGGAATCATACAGACAGAAGAGTGTGCCAAGTCCAGGAAACATGATCTACACAGGACGTGAGGCAGGAGCATGCCCGGCACGGTCCAGAAACAGCCAGGAGACGGTGTGGGTGGAGCACGCCCAGCAGGAGGGAAGAAGAGCAGGTGAGAGTTGAGGGGAGAGAAGATGGGCGGATAATGACCTCAGGGATCACTGGCCTTTACCCTGAACGAGATGGGAGCCATTGGAGAATTTTGAGCAGAGAACTGAAGTGGCTGCCTTATGTTTTAAACGGGA